TTCTGGTTTCAAGGCTGCCACTTCTCTTGACAAGTGGTGTCTGTAAATACCCACACCTCTGTGTCTGCCTGGATTTCTGAAGTAATGCTTTGACTAAACCATCCCCTTGATGGTCCCTGCCTCCTGGTGGCTCCTCACACCTGTCCCAGATCCTGGGAGACTGCCTCCATTCGCAACGCACTTGGTTAGCTCAGGCCCAACACCTTGGCCTGTGTCTATGACTCGTGATCTCCCATTGTCAAGATAACATGCAGATAGGATTACACAGAATGGTTCTTGACTGGCCTGAAAGAGGCTGTTCACTCAGTTGGAGGCTGAGGAGAGTTATCAATGATAATTACTAAAGCTGTATTCATTTCTTGCTATTTGGTGTGTTCTAAAGACTCTACTAGGATAAAGGAATGGAAAGGATTTGAACTTGTTTTGCCTTTCTGATTAAAAACTGGCTTAAAAAATTTGCTCTAGTTTAGACCTCTGCTTAAGGTCTAGCGCTGCCACCTTTATTATAGGAGGCAACTGGAGCTAAGCAAAATGAATCAGAACTGCATATTGTAAGCAAGGAATATTACTTGTGTCATTTTTGGCTGCCAACAAAATACCAGGAAAATTACAAAGTAACAGTTACCACTGTGAAAGAGAATAGGAAATAAAATGAACTTTTTATGCCTAAGGAAAAGCTTTCCATTCCCGTTATTTTTACAGGGCAGTACAGGAGCCTTCTGTGGATCTTGGCACCAGATATCACATAAACAATCATTTATACACGCTCAGAATCCAAATATACTCTTTTCCTGGGGTCTGCATCTATTACCTTGACAGGAACAGAGAAAGGGTTTTAATTAGATTTATTTTATATGTAGAAATTGCCTCTTTTGTTAGCACGAAAGAAATCTAGTCAAATGGATAATCTTATAAAAAGCAACATAAGCATGTCTAGAACCAAATCACACCCTATAAGACTCAGGCTTTCTTTCTTTTCTCCCACTTCCCCCCAGATTTACCACACAAACTTGGAAATGACCTGCCTTCTCATTGCTTAAAGCACTGACAGGATCCCACAGAAGAGGAGAAAAGTTGATGTCCAATTAAGCTCCGTGTGTGCATTCAACTTCTGTTGAGAAATTTAAAGAAGAAAAGGCTTCAGGTGGTAGTGCAACATTTAACATGTCTCCATAGCCTTTCCTACTTTACTTCAGGGTCAAAATCTGTAGGGTCTAGACAGGGCATTGATGGAGCGTCCTGGAACTGATAGAAAATTGTTGGTCTGGAGCTGGGAAAAGTCCACAGACTAGGAAAAATATATGTATTATTATAAGGAATTGGCTTCCATGATTATGAAGGCGGAGAAGTCTCAAGATCTGTGGTCAGCTAGCTGGAGACCCACCCAGGAGAGCCAATGGTGCAGTTCCAGTCTGAGTCTGAAGGCCTGCAAAACAGGAGAGCCAATGGTTTCAGTCTGAGTTCAAGTCTGAAGGCAGGAGAAAACCTGTTTCCTAGCTCTCAAACACCCTCATAGACACACCCAGAAAAATCTTTAACCAAATACCTGGGAAATCTCTAGTCCAGTCAATGTAACATAAAAAAAATTATCCATCACATGGGAACAGTAAAGAAATGTAAGACATGATTATACATTCATTGATTCAGTTCAATTTAGAACCAGATGAATTCACAGATGAGAAAACACACTCAGATTGGTGTGGCTCACTTGGACGGCAGTTTATTTCTGGAGAGCCTATCACTGACCTGGTCAGTATTTCAGGCAGCCAAAGAAGGAGTTGCTTTATCCGGTCCCTACACAATGAGAAGATTAGACTGTAAGCTCCTCTGGGAGTAATGACACATCCTGTGCTGGATGAGTTCTGGCATATGAAGACACTGTAGAAAAACCTAAATCTCCTTATTTTTAGCTCTGAGCTATCTTTGTTATGTTTTGTCTAGCGGCCAGTGTGATGTTGTTTTGGAAAGGAGCAAGAAGGTGAGGGGTCAAGAACAAAATGCAAATATCTTTGAATGGTGTTTGTGATGAGCAGCCCAGGCTACTTCTAGGTGAATTGTGGTGGTCATTTTCATTGAGTAGGTGACAAGCGTCTGAACCCCATGGAAAAAAACAGAGAATTTTGCAACCAAAAATTTGGATTCAATTCCGGCTCTGCCATTTCCTACTAGTGAGATTTTTAGTATGTTCCTTAGCCTCTCTGAGGCAAATTTTATTCATCTATTAAACAAGGATAATAACACTTGCTTGTCTTCTTGTCTTATGCGGTATTTAAGAAGGTAAAAAAAAAAAAAAAGATAATGAAAGGGATTTGTAAATATAATGTAGAATGTGAAATAAATACATCCATTCCGCAAACATAACTTGACACTTGAGTTAAGCGACTTCAGCTCTCAAAAATTTAATAATCTAACCTAATAACCATCTATGAGTGTGCTTGTTTATGAGGGGAAGCATACTCACAGAGGTCTGGGGGCCAAGGGTAAGTGGTAAATGATGCCTAGAGAAGCAACTTTAAAAACAAGGGCAATAGAAATATCCGTCTCATAGGTTAAATTCCTTTCAGATTTGGTGCCCAGAAAACAAGTATAGGAGTGGGTGGAGGGTTGGAAGAGTTTCTATGAGAAGTAAAGTAAATACCAACGATATGGTTTGGCTGTGTCCCCACCCAAATCTCAACTTGAATTGTATCTCTCAGCATTCCCACATGTTGTGGGAGGGACTGAGGGGGAGGTAATTGAATCATGGGGCCGGTCTTTCCCGTGTTTTTCTTGTGATAGTGAATAAGTGTCATGATATCTCATGGGTTTATCGGGTTTCTGCTTTTGCATCCTTCTCATTTTCTCTTGCTGCCACCATGTAAGAAGTACCTTTTGCCTCCCGCCTGATTCTGAGGCCTCCCCAACCATGTGGAACTGTAAGTCCAATTAAACTTCTTTTTCTTCCCAGTCTCGGGTATGTCTTTATCAGCAGTGTGAAAATGGTCTAAAACAACCGATTCTGGTCATCTCTGTATAACTCAGAACATTGAGAGTTCAGCTCCTGTGCTTCTGGTCTACTTTAAAAATACCAGTCTTTCTTCTTTCATTATCACTTTCTAGGAAGTCCAATAAGAAAAACTGAAACTGGGATTAGAAAATCACTTTGACTTCAAAGGGATATTAGATGGCCTATAGTTTTTATTCATCTAATGATTCTTAGTTCAAGTATGAATATACAGATATATTTTAAATGGTCCCATTGCCCTTTAACATTAATACACAAACGTGTCTATTAGATCTAGAATCCCACCTGTTTAACAGTGAGAAGACCAGTCTTACAGATCCCTCTTTCACTATTTCCAGGAATCTATAGGCATACACACATATGTGCCTAGGCCAGTGATTTCCATTTCTTGCCAATGCTGGCCAGCTATTTCAATATATTGGAATCTCTGAAGTTAAAACTTTATTCTTAAAGCTATATTTTCATTGTGACAGCCTGCTTTTACACAGTTGCAAATTAATGGTGCCCAATATGATGGAACTGGAGCATGATAGCTGTGCCTCAGGACAGGAAATCTTGCCACTGCCCTTATAAAGTGAGTAGGGGACACTCCAGTTTTAAGCTTAGCTAGGTATTGAAGAAGGAACCCCAGTAAGGATGCCTGATCCCAATGTGCCATAGTATTTAATGCCATGATATACTTCAATAGATATACTTACTTTTTTTTCTAGGTGAGCAAACACAATGGTAGGATGCCAAAGTCAGGATGTCTATGATATCCTCCACCACATTTAATTTAGACCCTTTACTCACCTACAATTCTCAGGCTTGCTTCTGGTTTAGATTTATTTATTTTTTTTTAGTGCAGTCTTTTTTCTAAATTTATTTTTAATTGACAAATAATGGTTGTGTCTCTTTATGGAGTACAATGCAATGGTTTTATCTATGTATCCATTGTGGAAAGATTCCATCAGACCAGTTAACACTTTATCATCACTTCACCAACTTACCATTTTTTTTTGTGGTAAGAAATGTTAAAAATCTATTCTTTTAGTAATTTTGAAATGTACAACATATTATTAACTATGGTCACCATGCAGTTGCAATAGATCACTTCTCCAGTTTAACTGAAACTGTTCTCTTTGATCAACATCTTTCCTTTTCCCTCCCTTTCCTCCAACTTTGTAGCATCTGGTGACCACTTTTCTGCTCTCTGCTTCTATGAATTTGACTTTTTTAGAGTCAACCTATGAGATCATTCAATATTTGTCTTTCTGTGCCTGGCTTACTTTATTTAGCACACTATCTTCCAGTTCCATCCATATTGTTACCAATTACAGAATTTCCTTCCTTTTAAGGTTGTACAGTATTCCACTGTGTCTACACCACATTTTCTTTATCCATACATCTCCTAATGGACACTTAGGTCGCTTCCATATTTTGGCAATTGTAAGAAATGCTGAAATGCATCAATTTACTTTTTAAAGATTTATCCCCTCTGTTGGGGTTGTCTCAACATATCTGATACATTTGATGACTGTATCCCAAGGGTTAACAGGCTTTAATTCAGCATGTTCTTCAGAGGCAATGTAAAGTAATGGATGAAAATAGATGTGCAGGTGATGGGGTGTTGCCTTTCTATACTCTACTAGGTGAGCCCTAGCTCCAGCCTAACCAAAGCCCATGTTACTATTCTCAAACCACTTTAGGGTTCGTTTTCGTTTTTGGACACAGTAAAATCTCTTTTTGTTACAGGGTCTTTGCACTTATTTTTTTCTCTTCTGGGAACCCTGTCCCCTGATGATTGCTCAAGTCTCAGCTTAACTGTCACCTCCTCAGAGAGGCATTTTCTTTCTATTATATTACTCTATTTATTTATTCTTTAGCACTTTTCATAGTCTGCATTGATTTTATTTCCCTGTTCCCTTGTTTCATGTAAGAGCCACAAGAGCAGCAGCCTTGCCTGTCACCACTGGATCCCAGGGTCTAACGTAGTGAAGGGCAGGATACATAATAATAACAGTTAACATCTATTGGGCACTTACTATTTGTAAAGTACTGTACTAAGTACTTTTACATCTATTAACTCACCCAATCTTAATTTGCTCCTTTTTTACAAATGAGGAAGCTGGAACTTGTAGAGGATTTAAGAACCTAGTCACACATTAAGCACTTGGTAAGAGATGAAGCTATCTATGGTTTGGTGACTCCAAGTTTTCAGCTTTACATTGTTCTGCCTCTCCTCATCTGCTTCTGCAGGCGGTCATGATAGCAGAGATCAAGGTCATGCCATGGTCCCAGTACCTTTTTTCTTTTCAAAAGTTATCTCAAGTTATATTCATTTGCCTTTGAAGAAAACGTACTATGTTCCCCTCTAGCATGATGTCTTACATTGGGGGACTATGTCCTAGGTCACCAAAGGTGTCAAAAGGCTTTTCAGCCCTGGCTTTCCAGATCTGTGCACATGTATCCTCTCCAGAATGACCAGTCACTGGTAGGAGGATGGTCTTGCCTCTCTTGCTCATTCTACAGTCCACAGACTACTGCCAGAGGCCTTTTTCCTCTCCATGTGTAAGCCTTCTTATTTCCCTCATATGGGTGGTATCTGTTCTGATGTTACAAATATTTTTTTCTCATTCTCCTTGTGTACACTATGTGTGCTGATTTTTCCTCAGTGTTTGCTGCCATACTGACGCCAGCTCTCTCTGCACTTAATGCCTCCCTCTTACTCCACATGAGATGGGGCAGCCAACTGCCCAGACTTTAGAGGGACTCAAAAGAGATGGTTTCTTTTTTACCCTGTGATACCCTTTTTCCATTCCCCAGTAAGCTGTTCCTCCAGTGCTGTCTCTGGGGGACATGTTGCTGCTCTTGCCTGGAGCTGCACTGGTTACTCGGTCTGGGCTCATGTACAGCTCTAATTCAATTTACAACGCAGTTACATAACTGTTCCCAGTCTCCAGTTGACCTTGATGTCAAGCAGCGGTCAAGTTGTACCAGCCCAGAGAAAGGAGGAGGAATCTCTGGTCAGCCCTTGAGAACATTTTAGCTGGGGTTCTGGAATGGAATGTGGCACCAAAAGGCCAAACCAGACCAGTAAATTCTTTGGAAGGTTGAAAAGCAAGTGTTGTTGATTTTTGTAAGATGGATGCTGTTGACTTTCAGGGCAATCCTGTGTCACTCAGGATTGTGTTCTTGGACCAGAGATGAGGGTGCTGTCCTCTTTTCCCATGAATCACTGTAAGTGGATGAGCCTTTCAGTCTCAATGGGAAGTGCTCCTAGGACTGTCTTGGCTTGGAAACGTCTCAAGGACAAACTTTTAGCACATTCTTTTCTGAAGAGTTCTGGTTCTACTCAGTTCTAAACAGTGACAAGAATAGCTAAGTCTTTCTTCTGTTCTTAATAAAGCGAGGAAGCCAGGGGTTTCAGGAAAAAAAACAAAAACACAAACTAAAGCTTGGGCAAATCGGTCAAAATTTCAGAAATTCAGTAGTATGAAGACTCTCTAGGAGCAAGTACTCTGTTTATTTTGTTCTCTGCTATATCTTTACACCATGAATAATATCTGGTATGGACTAGGCACTCAGAGAATATTTGTTGGATGATTGTATAATAGGATTTGTGGATTGTGACAAGTGATCTTTTTCTAGTTAATCTGGCAAAGGCTACCATACTAGAAATTTTCAGAAGTCTGCTTTACGTATTTCAATCATATATGTGTCTGTGCAAATACAATGCTAAATAAATATTCTACAAATGTATATATATACAAATGTCTATATCTATCATGATTAGTGATCATTAACTGGTTACTCATCTATGATAAGCACATTAGTAGATTGTGCCTGGATTTAAAGATTGCCTTAAATAAACACCATTCATTTATACTAATTTGACTATCCTCATTGACAGAACTAGATTCATGGGACTTGTGAGATTTATGCAGTTACAAAAGGTTCCTTCCTTAGAAGGACCTCATACTTGGTTTAGTGCTCTTCAAATTCATAATAATTTTTGAACAAGATGACCCTATATTCATTTTACACTGGACCCCACAAAGGTAATTCTGCCAGAAGTATAGAGAGAGCAAGTGTAGAAAAATACTATCTAATATCACCTTTTATATGCTAACAGCCCTGAGTGAGAACAGTTGCTTACTGACTATGGCGACAACTAGGATAACATGTGGTGTGGTTTGGCTGTATCCTGACCCAGATCTCATCTTGAATTTTCACATGTTGTGGGAGGGACCCAGTGAGAAGTAATTGAATCATGGGGCAAGTCTTTCCCATGCTGTTCTCGTGATAGTGAATCAGCCTCATGAGATCTGATAGTTTTAAAAAGGAGAGTTCCCCTGCACAAGCTCCTCTCTCTTTCCCTGCTGCCATCCACATAAGATGTGATTTGCTCCTCCTTGCCTTCCGCTATGATTGTGAGGCCTCCCCAGCCATGTAGAACTGTAAGTCCAATTAAACCTTTCTTTAGTAAATTGCCCAGTCTCGGGTATGCCTTTATTAGCAGTGTGAAAATAGGCTAATACATCACGCATATCAAGAAAGGATTAATCTACTACTAGTTCAAGACATTAACTGATTAATTAACTTTACTAATGACAAATGCATCACATATATATTCTTTCAAAAAGAATAATCCGAGTATAATTCGTGAATTCACTGGTAGCTCTTCTCTGATGTAAACTATCTCTGCTTTAACAATCTTTGCCTTCCAAAATTCAATAAATTTAAGAGGCCATAAATGCTAATAAATCATCCATATTGCTTATCTTTTTTGACAGCACGGCCATTCTCATTCCTGAAAATTCCTATTGTTTGGTCTGTATCACATTTTAGTGCTTGATCAAAATCAATTTTGAATTTGAATACATGCTGCAATCTAGTTCTTTTTAAGGGGTTTCCACATCAAGTGATTTTCAAAATTTTACTCCCCAGAAAGTGTAGATAGGGCAACATATATAATGCTAATTTTTAAAATATTACGTAGCCTGACACTAGGCACATAATAGCCAATGAGTAAATACCTAATTAAGTAAATTGAACTAACAATTAGAAATTTCCTACTTACCATGCAGGAACATACACATAATAACTTTCATGTATCTTTTCTTAAGTAAAGGTTAAACTCCTAAACAGCTGCTTTTGCTCAAAAAATTTTAAAGTTGCCAAATACTAGATGGTAGCCTACACATGCTGCTTATATAAAAACAAATTCAAACCTCTTTGTATTTTTCAAAATAGAAAACTGAAGAAATTTTTTAAAAAGTCAAACCTTTGAAACACATAGTGATCTTTAGGTAGATTTCATTTTTCCAACGTTGCCTCATTTCAAAGCACACCAACTGCTCCAGCTTAGCTTTGCTGAACCATTTAACACCCACTTGCATCTCAGAAAGTTTCCTGTGTTTATAATTACAAAGGATATTTCATGACAACCTGTTTGTTGTTTATTTATTTATTTATTACAAACATCGAGTCACTCAGCACTTTGGCTGAGCAGAGCAGGTTCATTCTCATGCACATCTTGATACATAACTGAAGTTGTTGCTTTAAGTCAAGCTGAGGCCAGATCCTCACAGCCAGACAGTTCTTAATTGCTTCATTTTTGAGATAGGGATTTTCTGAAATATATTTTCTTGCAGAGGAGAAAAGATTTTAAAACTTTGCTTTCACTTCACACTGGGAACAAGGAACAAGCAGATGGAAAATAATGAGTTTCTTCAATACTGTCTTGGCTGGAGAAATATTTTCTTAGACTCCACCTTTTTCTACATGTGCCAGCAACACCAAAATCCTGCTTTCCATTAGCTTGATTCTTGTTAACTACACTTCATTCCTCTTTGGGTAGAGTAAATCACAGATGGAGTGCCATATCATCGTGGTGCCCAGATAGAAAAAAATGTTCGCAAACTTTGACATCGATAAAGAATCTAAAATTCAAACTCATACCACCATATGCATCCTAGCAAAGACAGTAATCATTTATACTGTTCTTTTGAAAAGAGACTAAAGTCTTTCATTTAAAATTTCTTCATTAAAAAACATCTCCATTGAAACACAAAACTAAAACTAAAAAAAACAATGAAATAATGACTTACCACTGTAAGTGGACTAAATTAGAATAAATAGTATCTGAAAAGAATCAACTTAAAGTGTTTAAATAGCTATTAATTTCATCATAAAAATAATCTTAAGACTGCATGTACAGGCTTAAAGGAAAAAATTAGACCGAAGTGGAAAGCAGAAGGCATCTTAGAAGCATCTACATCTCCTATCATTTTCCACAAGGAAATTGCATAAAAATCCTCTCCTTGAGAAAATTCAATCCTCCACATGCTATAGGAAAGTAACCCTCTTTTCTTATTTTCAAGTTTCTCAAATTGGGATCCAGTTTAAGTGGCTTCTCCCAGATCTTTCAGGTTTCCCTGGTTTTTAAAACATATTATCCCCATGAATGTTCTTCTTCATTCAAAACATGAAACACTTTCAGGAAATCTACATACATCCAATAACAATTACATAAGTAGGCACTCATTCCAAAGAGGAAAAGAAAAAAGAAAAAGAGAAGCTTAAAGGGATTGGCTAAAGTGGGTGATCTACTAGGATGCTGGGAATAAGTGATTCTCTGGTGAAACGCCTCAAACACATTTTTGTTTTCAGTGAGCCGGAAAGCCTGAAGGGGGTTGACCTGAGGAGGATGGCATGAAAAAGCGATAAAGTGAGCAGGCTGGTACCTGTCCAGTATGCAACCCTAACTGCTGATCAATGATCTCTAACAAATCATTTGGAAGAGTTGGTAACTTATCCTCCAGTGTAATTTTTCAAAGACACTGATGTCATTATGGGTAAATAAGAATTTGACATTGAATAACCCCCCCCCCCAAGATTTAGGGAAGTGAAATGGATTATGAATGACTGTCTCTGTCTATTTTCTGCTGCTATAACAGAATGCCACAGACTGGGTGATTTATAAAGAAAAAAATTTATTTGGCTCATGGTTCTAGAGCCATGATTCATCTTGAGGCAAATATTCTCTAGCTGTGAGCCGTGAAATCAAAACAAGTTATCTACTTTCAAAATACAGTGATAGGACAGGCGTAGGATAGACATTCCCATTCCAAAAGGAAGAGATAGGCAAGAAGAAAGGCATAACTGTTCTCAAGTAAGTTCAAAGCCCAACAGGGAAAACAATATTAAGTGTTAAAGCTGGAGAATAATCTCCTTTGACTCCATGTCCCACTTCCTGAATACATTGGGGTGGGAATTGAGCCCCCAGGGCCTCACATAACCCCACCCCCATGACTTTGCTGAGCTTAGCCCACTCGGCTCTCAGGCATTGGAGTCTCATGCTTGCAGCTCTCCTAGGCTCACATTGCACATTGACAGCTCTACAGTTCTTGGGTCTCAGTGGCCGTCCCAATCATAAAGCTCCACTAGGCATCACAGTAGTGGGGACTCTCTGTGGTGACTCCACTCTTGCAGCAGGTTTCTGCCTGGGGCCCCCAGATTATCCATGACATCCGTTGAAATCTAGGTGGAAGTAGCCATGCCCCCAAACCTCTTGCATTCTGCAGACCTACAGACTGAACACCATATGGATGCTATCAAGGATGGATTACTGCTTGCATGCTCCAAAGTGGCCTATACTATACTTGGGCCTGCTTAAGCCCTGGCTAGGACAGTCAGGGAGAACTGCACTGGAATACAGGGAGGAGCAGACAACTGAGTAATCTCTGAGGAGAGAGCTCATGAAGAGTGCCCTGGGCCTGTCCCCTAAAACCATTCTTCCCTCCTAGTGCTCTAGGCCTGTGATAGGAGGGCAGCCTCGGGGAACTCTGAAGTGCCCTCAGGGTCCTTCTCTCATTGACTTGGTTAATAGCACCTGGCTCCCCTCTATCTATGGTGATCTCCTTACCAAATAGTTGCTTGGCTACACTCTTGATTTGCTCTCCTAAAGATGTATTTTCACTCTTTACATGGCCAGGCTGTGAATTTTCCAGATCTTTCCATTCTGCTTCTCTTTTAATTATACATTCCATCTTTAAATCATTCTTTTCCTCTCACATTTCACTGTATGTGTTTAGAAGTAGCCATGCAGTGGCCTGAATGGTTTGCTGCTTAGGTATTTTTTCTGCCAGATATTCTGTCATTGCTCTTAAGCTCTTTCTACATTCTATAAAGCCTTCAAACATACACACAATTTTACCAAGGTTTTTGATACTTAATAACGAGGATGGCTTTTACTCCAGTTTCTAATACCTCATTTCTTATTTCTGTCTGAGGCTTCATCAGAATGGCCTTTAACTGCCCATATTTTTATGAACATTCTGGTCACAACCACTTAAGTAATCTCTAAGAAAATTCAAATTTCCTTATAATTCTCCTTTTCATCCAAACCCTCACCAGAAATACCCTTAATGTTTCACTGCAATACAGACTTTTTCTTGCCTGATTCTCCAAATACTTGCAGCCTCTACCATTACCCAGTTCCAAAAGCTGCTTCTACATTTACAGGCATCTCTGTTCTAGTAACAGCAGCCGCATTTCTCAGTACCAATTATCTGTTTCACGGGTTAATGAGTGATTCTTTCCTGTTGAGATCTGTGTTTGCAAGTATCTTCACATTGTGAAGTGTCTCACTCTTAAGGAAAATAAAAAAGCTTACAAAGCTTTTAAGGGCACTTCACCCCCCAGATAAAAGAAATATATTGTATTTTATGATAAATGAAGGGCATCTGCAACCTGTATCTTACACAGGGTGAATCACTGGACTCATGTTTTTAAAAGGAAGAAAAATGGCTTGAAAGGAATTGTTTAAGAGTGGTAAAGTCATTTACAAAAGAAAACCAAATGAAAAAATCAGCCAAATTACATAGAGTAACTCTGCACTGAGTAACTAATTAATCATGGTGTCCAGGGGAGCCTATCTAGCTCTTGGTTTTCTGTGGTCTCAATAATAGGTAAATAGAATCTTAGAGAAAAAAAAGACTTGTCAGGTGTGTTTTTGCTTGTTTTTAACAAAGGCAGAAGTGCACTCAGGAGTCCTTAATTGAATTCACAAAGCCAGGCAATATGTTTAAATGTTATCATTGTAAAGCTATATTAAGTATCAGAGCAGCTTTTTGAAGTCAATATTTTTAAATAAAAAATACAATTTAAAGAGGATCATGGTCCAGTGGTGAAAAACCAGGCCTTTTCCTTACTCCAGCTATTTAGCGCAGAAAAGTTTATGATAATTATTAGAATGACAGGCAATGATGAATTTCTACTGTGCAACATGTTAGGAAATGAAGACTGCTTTGGAATTGAAGAACTTTAGAATCAACCAAGAGTTGTGCAAATACAAGGCCTTGGCTTCAAAAGGGAAATTTAGTTGTAATCAAATCCTGCTCCTCATTGTCCTTTTTGACTGTAGGTCACAGGGCTCTGTTGGAGATGATGTTGTGCCATCACTCTAAGACATTCTACTATAATTTACTGAGTACTAACTAAGTTTCAGTTCACATGCCTGGCCTCCTGGGTCCTAAGACACAGACCCAGACCACCAGGAAGGTGCAGCGCAGTATATGGTGACTGCTAAACCCCTCACATAAAACAAAAAAAAACAAAAAACAAGTAATTATTGCTAAGCAAACATGAGCTTTTAAAAAGACTTTTATTATACAGAAAAGAATATGAAAACACAAAAAGATACTAAAGCCTGGTAAATATGTCCATTCTGAAAAAAACGAAAGTTATATTTTAAAACTCACAGGGAAAGCTCTACTTTGGTTTCAGTCATCATCTTTGGAAGAAAAGGAAGTTGGATTTTTCCATTAACAACTCACGGTGCCTTTCTCTCCATCCTGGGTGGTGGCCACGCCACTGTCAGCCTCTTCACACGACTCAGCAGTGGTCAGGGTTGGCCCTTAATGCTGAATTTGGTGTGGCGCTTTCAACAGACTCATTCTTTGGCAGATATCCTGCCACACAGAGAGAACTTTTTGACCAGGTTGTAGCAATTTTTAATAAAAGGATAAACATAAACGGAACTCTCTGTACTTTTTCATTATAGAAATAGTGTTTAGTACTCAACTGATACATTGTACTCTTTTCTGAATTGCTCTGCAGGAAGCATGTTTAAATACGATATCTGGGTCCCCAAATAGACAGTACTAATGGCTTCTGATCAACTCTGAAGCTGAAAGGAGACTTTGTAGAGTCTCGCACAGCATCACAAGTAGTGTGGTGCATCCCTCATCCCAATGTGTTAATAACGATAGAATTTAGAGTGTCTAACCTGAAAACTTTCTGAGAACAAATGTTTCCTATCTTAATGTTGGATTTTTCACAAACATCCTATGTGCATGTCTATCCTATATGGACATCTACCAGGATGGAAGCAGGAAAAAGTGCAGTAATTAAGGGGAGGCTCAGACTGGGAATGAACATGCAGAAACTGAGATCTAGAGCCAATAGCTGAAAAGTCATTTGGGGCAAATGGCCAATCTCAAAACAAAGAAGAAGAGATGAAGTTAGAGAACTTGTGTTGTTCAAAGGAAGGAATTGACCAAGGACTAGCTAGCTACTCAGGATTCATTTACTCACTCACTCATTCACTCAGTCACTCACTCATTTAGCAACACCGCATACATATACTGATGGTGAATAAAATGCACCTGAGCTTTGTCTTCAGGTAGTTCTCACAGGACACAGGATGAGAGGGCACAGACAAGCCAGTAAGGCACACAATGGTGAAATAGAGGCTATTACAAGAACTCATGTTGTCTTAACTATGGAAATGCCCCTATATTTCTCCTAGACTTATAGGAACCAACTCTCTGCCCTTACCGCTCTCACATCTACCATTTGAGACTCAATGAGATACAAGGCACATAGGATAGATATATTCAGATACCTGGCATATAAGATAAAGTGCTTTCTAATCTAAAATGCATTGTACATATTCTAATCTTTCCTTGTTGCTTCAGAAAGCCAGGTCTAGGAGAATACTGCTTAACAATGGGTTCAGTGTGTTTACACCTGTTTCTCAATGGGACGTAGTGATTCAATAAAAAGAAAGTGACATTCTTTGGTTTAAAGTGTCCAGGAAAAATTAGACTTTAGTGTGTATTTTCCCTTGATCCTTTCAGAAAATTTACAACTCATCTCCCATCAGTCAATTCAGCAATAAGTCCTAAGGAGTCTCCCAACAAAGCATATCCTAGATCCCAAATGTTTCTCTTCCCACACTGCAGCCACCTTCACCTAAGACACCATCATTTTGCACCTGGACTATTGTGGTAGCTTCATAACTGGTCTACCTGCTCTCCCCGTGATTGTCTCCCCAGGTCTCCATGCACTTTTGAGTGAGGAATGAGCTTTTGAAAACATAAATCATACCACATCAGCCTCTGCTTATAAATGTCACATAGCTTCTCACCAAGTAGAATATCCCTACTGGTATATGCAAAGCCCTACAGAATCAGTCCCAGTCTGTTTTTCAATCTCTGTCATAAGAACTTCCTCTTTACTCAACTGTCTGTTACTTCAACGTAAACATTCCTACCTTAGGGCTTTTCTGATATCCAGTCTCTTTTTCTAGAATATACTTCCCTTAATACTCAAATGGATCCCTCTTGTCATTTGGGTCTCAGTTTAGGTGTCACCTCTTCATAGAGATTTACCTGATTCCCTAATCTCAGAGAGTCACCCAGTTGCTGTTTCATTATCACCTTCTAATTATCTATAAGCACTTAGCACTATTTAGAATTTTTCTTAATTAAAAAAAATTATTCCCATTTTCATAAGATTGTAAGTTCCATGAGATTAGGGACATTGTCTGCCATTTTACCTACTTGTTTTGTATAATTTGTAACAGGAAGAACTTAGAAAATTTGTAAATATATTATAAGCATTAAAACATTTGCAAGTACCAAAGTGAATATTTCTCTGAAGGAGATCTAGTTAGATGTGGACTCTCATCATGTCATTGGACTCTCCTTGGGGCAGTTAGTATATCACACATGAATTATTCACTTATGGATCAGGCACTTAATTGCTGTCTGTTGAATGACTAAATGTTTTCCTGTTTTAAGGGTACTGAGCCAGTTCCCTTCAGGTTGCAGGAACATAGTTATGCTTAAGTTAATTTACCTATTGAGCATATTATGGGAGAATAGGAGACCACCCTATGAGCTGCCCAGCCAAGCCACAAGGACCAGAGATCATAAGAGTTCATAAGATGCCATAGCACCAGCCCCATGACCTGAACTCTCCTCAGCAGAAGACCTATATTGGTTACTCCTCCAATGCTCAGCGACTTGTTCACCCTCTTTGTTGCCAGAGAGTTTGCCACTCCTGCTGACTCTCTTCTTGAGAGTCCTGCATTCAGGCTTCCTGAGTGAGGACCAGGTTGGGGCACTGCTGTCACAGAGGTGCTGATTGAGGCGCCTTCTCAGGGCACTGGTTCACCTCACTCAGCCTTGAAGTCAGTGCTCATCTTCCATGCAAATACTGAGACCAGGATGGCCTGGTTTCTTCCAGGAATGGGTCCTCAAAAGAGGACTGTGTGCAATACAGCCATTCTGAGCCTCCTCAAAAGGGAGAAACATTTTTTGTCCAGTAATTCCAGTAGTCTGAAGAAACTATTGGAAGTTCTAATATATATAAACATAAGAATGGATAAGGAGGCCAGAGATTGGCCAACCATCAAAACTATGGGGCAAATATATTCAGAAGGTTAATCCCAATTCTAATCATTTCCCAAAAAGTACTATCAAATTGTGTATATTTGACCAAGATTTTTTTTCAATAAAATAAGTTGTTCAGAAAATACTTAATAAAATTAACTTTTTAAAATCTTTTAAATATTACCTAAAAATCCATATGCAGGCCTGAGTCCCACATGCACAAATATGGTTGTTACAAACTTGAAGAAAGTGAATATAGAATTATTTGTAGATTTAGGCAATAGCGCTAAATTTCCAGTGTTTCCAGTTTAGGAAAATGATGCATTTGTTTTAAAAGATTTATTTCAATACAACCTCAACAAAGGGCAGTTTGGCTCAGCACTTCTCAATTAATGTGCATATGTGAGCAAAATTATATCTACAAGGATATTCATTGCATTATGGTTTGTAGTAGCAAAAGTCTAGAAATAGAAAGTCTCATACCTAATTTATAAGAATCTTAAAGTCTTATAAATAAGAGACAGATGAAATAAATTACAGTACACTTGTGAAACAGAATACTCTACAGCTATTAAAAAGAAGAGGGTTGATTTATATATGTTGATATAGCAAACCCTCTAAATATATTAAAGTGGAAAAGCAAGGTATGGAAATATGGCCTATAAGGAGAAGACCTAGCTGTCTAGGGTGGGAGAGAGGTTTAGTTTCCAATCTATAATCTATTTTACTGTTTGATTCTTAAAATTATATTTATATGTTGCTTAAAAAAACAGAAAAAAATAAAACTTTATTTTCCTACCAAGCAAAAAATGTGTATAATAGCTTTCCATTGTCAATGAAAATAGTCAAACTGTGAAATATTTACAGAGGTTTATTCTGAGCCAAATATGAGTGACCATGCCCGAGGCACAGTCTCAAGAGATGTTGAGAACATGTGCCCAAGGTGATTGGATTACAGCTTGATTTTATACATTTTAGGGGAACATAAGACATTAATCAATACATGTGAAGTATATATTGTTTTGATCTGGAAGGGTGGGACAACTCGAAGCAGAAGGGGATGGGGGCTTGCAAGTCATAGGTGGATTCAATGATTTTCTCATTGGCAATTGGTTGAAAGAGTTAAGTTATTACCTAAGGATCTGGAATTAATAGAAAGGAGTGTCTGGGTTAAGATAAAGGTTTATGGAGACCAAGGTTCTTATTACGTATAGGAAGCCTCATAGGTGGCCACCCTAAGAGACAATAAATGGCAAATTTTTTCTATTTAGACCTTTAAAAAGTGCTAGACTCTAGTTAATCTCTTCAGGATTGGGAGGGCCTGGAAGGGGAAAGATCCAATTAATAGAAATGCTTTATGGATGCAAATTTTCCACACAAAAGATAACTTTGCAGGATCATTTCAAAATAGGGCAAAGAAACATATTTTGGGGTAAAATATTTTGATTTCCTTCTTTATCTGTTATGTTATGTTATACCAGAGGCATTGGGCTGGGAACCTTTGAGACGGGGACTCAGAGTCAGGTTGGCATTGGTATCTTACTGCTACAAAGAGTCTGTTCTATCAGTCTAAGATTTTCTATTTTAATTTTAATGCTGGTCAGTTGTGTTTAAACTCCACAATGAAGAGAGTACAATGAGGCATGTCCGACCCCCTTCTTATGTCATGGCCTGAACCGGTTTTTCCTGATCTTTGGAATTCCCTTGGATGAGAAGAGGGGTCCATTGAGTTCTTGAGGGGCTTAGAATTTTATTTTTGGTTTAGACCTTTGAGTTCAGAAGAAATAGAGAAGAAATCTGAATATTCGGTATATCTTGCATTGAGAAAAGTAAACGTATCTATACCTAAAGAATTGACTCAGTCTCTGTCATTTTACCTACTCAGCTTCTATAATTTGTAACAGAAAAAATTTAGAAATAGAAAATCCCTAAATACATTATAAGGATTAAAAGCATTTGTAATATAAGAAAGTACTTAGTACCAATGTGAATGTTTCCCTGGGGGAGAACTAGTTAGACATGAATTCTCATCATGTTATTGGGCTCTTCTTGGTAATTTAGTATATGACACATGAATTACATAATTCTATACTTAATGTAAAGAATGCTATACAATCTTGTTTTACTTCAGCTATTATGAAAGAGTAGGGATAGAATAAAAATAACCGAGATGTTGGGCTTACACTGCTTACATGATTCTCATCAACTTTTCTTTTCTGCCTTCATATTTACCTGTGTTAGCTCTGGTGACTGCTTAATGAATTAAGAAGATAGAGCATTAAAGGTAAACTCATGTTTCCAGTCAGGATAGAATTATAGATTCATAATTTTGTTATTCCAAATATTGTAAACATGTAACAATGATAAACTTAAAAAAATTTTTGAAAACATAGTTATGATTTTAAAATAT